TCCAAAGCTCATCCATGGAAGATATCTTAAGTCCATCTAGGAAGAGCTCTTAAGCTCATCTACGGAAGAGCTCCTAAACCCATCTAGGAAGAGCTCCTTAAGGAAGTGCTCCTGAGCTCATCTACGAAAGATCCTAAGTTCATCTAGGAAGAGCTCTTAAGCTCATCTACAAAATAGCCCCCTAAGCTCATATAGGAAGAGCTCTTAAGCTCATCCACGACTGAGCTTCTAAAGGACAAACTTTGACGTCATGCGGTTCCATCGACAGTTCAATATTGGAGGGCAAACTGTCTTAGGCAGAGTTGTTCTCGAAGGATCATAGGCCGACCTCTGAGGTCGGCCTCGGTTACTTAGACGCAGATGAGAACTTTCCAAGTATTGTGCTCTAAGGCAGGGATAAATCCAGAGACCAACACGGACCAACAGTCCATAATAGGTCACCTGACCCCAAAACAGTGAAATATCCCGATGGGATGGGTAACTACTCCTCAAATCCCTATAAATACACCTTCACTCCACCCACTGAGGTATGAAAATCTGTCTGGCGCTAATCTGTTGAGCTCGAATTATTACTGACTTGGGCGTCGGAGTAGCCTACCTGTTTTACAGGTACCTCTGAAGAATACTCCAAGTGTTGCCAGCCGACCTCCCAGGTGTTCTCCGTACCTTGGCATATTTTTGCATCAATAGTAACAAACATCATAAAACTACATAACTGAAGATTTCATCAAGCTACATAGTCGAAGACTTCATCAAGCTGTGTAACCAAAGACTTCATCAAGCTGCATATTTGAAGACTTCAAAGATCTTTCAACAAGCTAGAAGTCGAAGACTATCTTCTTATTTCGAGAATAAGCTCACAACCTGCACAGCAAAGTTTCTATCTGAGAGAGCATTAAAGGATTATATATATTAGAAATTGTAACACTTATATACCTAAAAAAATACTTCATTTAATTAGAGTCTCTCTTCTCTCAAATTTCTCACGAATAATACATATAGAGATCGAATTTGATCCCTTGGCTAGGGAAAAAAAAAAACACCAATGATTTTCTTCTTGTTTCTACAATTTCGGCTTAATTTGTGATTGTGATAACTTTTATAATAATTGCTAGCAATTGTGATTTTCTTGAAATATGAAATAAATTAATGTTTAGTAAGTTTCAATTTCAAATTTGAAACAGCAAGTTACACTTGAGGTAAATTAATACTGAATTGTTACTCTATATAAAAAAGGTACTAAACTATTCTGCTTGAGTAATAATAACCAAAGTAGATATATTATTTTAATTGTTTTTTAAATTGATTGCTCGGATGGCCCAAGACGACCTTCTAAGGTTGTTGAGAGTCCAGGTATAACCCGCTCATCTCTCAAGAATCATATAGCAGTTGAGAAACTTGCTTAAGCTTAAGCTTTGACATTATTAAAGACTGAGCCAAGGTACATGAGAACAACTTGTAACCACCAATCATTTGTTATATCGCGATTTTTTCATCAGGATTCCTACAATTGTAGAAAGCGACGGGCAAGTGGGACCTACCTACGTACGCCTATAAATAAGAGACAAATCCAAATGCAGGTACGCAATTCTGATTGCTTGCATAATAGTTTGGACTATTATTTGTTTGAGTACCAAAGCTGCTTCTTGCATTCTCATATTTAGCATCTACATTTTAATTTTGGAAATATAGCATTTTCTAGAAAAAAAAACTTGTACCACTGATATACCAGTGATAATAAAAATTCAAACATTTTGTCATATTTGTAAAACACAAAAGAGGTTGAAGTTTTTGTAAATATGTATAAAAATTTAGCTACTCAATACAATTTATCAATTTTTTATAAGAAAATTATTAAATTTTTATATAAATACAAATTATTATATTTACTCAAAATTATTTGACGTGGGAAAACATTTGTGAAAAAAAGAAAGAACAAATTGTATTGATCCAAATTTCATTATAATTTAAATAGAAAAAATATAAGTAACATATAGATAAGACACAAGGAGACTTGAAGAGAGATATATATCAATAAAGGTTTAAGTTTAGTCCTTATATGTCCAATAGTATGTCTAATAGGCATCTAAAGTTTATAAATATACCTGAACTTTTAATTTTGTGTTATTAAATTAAATTATCAATTTTAATTTGTCTCGAACACGATCTTAACCTTTTACTTTTGTATTTAATAGATCTATTAATTTTAAAATATATAATAAATAAAAAAAATTAGAGATCTATTAAACACAATTATGAAAGTTGAAGTAAACTTATTATTTAACCACTAATAAATAATTATTCCTAGTAAGTGACCTTTATAAATAATCTTGTCAAAATAAATAAGAGAGTAATTTTATATAAGTTAATAAGCATTAATTTTAGATTATAACTATAATTAGTACTTAAACGAACCTGCCGCTCGAGATAATATGAAACTAATATCAAATCTTTTACAATGATCTTAATAGTATAGGTTGAATTTTAAACTTAATCTCTATCCTTTTGGAGAATTTCAAAATCATAAGACCAAATTAAAATTATACTATACAATTTTGTTAATTACCTACAGCAAATTATCTAAATTTTATTTTTCTTACTTTTACAAAATTATACGTAATTAATTTTGATAATCTAATTTCATTAAAATATATTTTAAATAGATGATATTGCTGACATAATAAACTTTCCAACTGCAATAATTTGCTTAATTTTAGTTTTGAGATCAAGCTTAGTTGTTAACAATAATTAAATAGGTGTTTTACTTATACGCTTTAAGCTAACTTTGTCAAAAACAATCTCAAACAACAAATTCTCAATATTCGAACTTGGAAACAAATCCTAACGTTAATAAACTAACAAGAAGAAGAAGTAAACTAAAAACTGAAAAGATTTATATATTATAAAACAGTAATTAACACAAGAAAAAGGATAAGAAAAAAAAAACAAATTTAGGATGAATCTGTGGGCATTTGAAATCTACAAATTGGACAATAATGGCTGCTCTTCAGCCACTTCTTTATGCATTCTTCATGAAACACATGCAAGCAAGGCATCTGTAATAGTAATAAAATTACTTCACCATTCTCCTCTTTTTCCATATTGACACTTATGTCCTCCAAGCAAATTACACAGCTTCGAATTTGATCATCATCGTCAAATTGTTGTTCAACTTTCACTCTCTTCAGCATCTCCTCCACAGCAAAGTCACTCGTAGGAATCATAAATCTGTCTTCCATTGGTGTCTCATGACGTGTTACTACAACATTCCATAATCTTAAAGTAACTGTCAAAGGAAGCACTTTTCCAACAAACACTGAGAGATTTTGTTCTTGTTGTTGTTTGATTTCAGCCCACGTGGCTATAATCTTGTCTGTGATGGTGTGGATGTTGAATACGGTGTCGTTTTGATATGCTGGGAACTTTGAGGAGAGGAATTGGTGGAGGGATTGGGGGCCATGATCCAAGATTTGGATGGGGATCTGGTGGACTACCAAGGGAACTTTTTCGGATTCATGTCGCCTGGTGAGCGTTGTGGTTCTAAAGTTGTTGTTGGTGGATACTAGGAAGTGGCTGCATTCGACGACGGCGACGAATTTGAGGCGAATTTCTTCGACGGGGTCAGGTTGAGTTTGAGGAGGTTGTTCGGGTTTTGGAGTGGGAGGTTGAACTTCAACTGTCATGCGAACGATGGAGCGGTGACGAAAGAGGTAGTCCATTATATTGAGAAGTAGTAGATAGAAACCAAGGATCGAAAAAAAGTTACGTTCGATGTTGGAGAAGCTAATGAATAATTTATTCGCTAAGCCATGCTATAAATATATGGATGATTGTGGGATTGCCTTAATGTAATTGGAAGTTGAATGGTGTTAGGAAAAAGGGAAGTTGGGTTTTTTTGATATTCCTTGTAGATTCGGAATAGGGATTTTAAATGTAGGTGACATAATGCAAAAATTATCGACATTATGTTTTTTATAGAGTATTAAAATATTGTTGAGATGATAATAATGATTTAAGTGAAATTAATTACTTATCTTGCGTGTTTAAATGATAGGATTTTCATGTAAAGAAAAAAAAATGATAGGATTTTAAATTATTTAATAAAACATAAAAATAAATAGTAAATATATTTGAGCCAAAATTGTACTAATAATAATTCTTTTTCGAAACAAAGTAGATAATTCCTTTTGAATAAGGAAAAAGAATTAAAATACTATAAGCATATAGGAAATGTTACAAATATATGATAAATTTAAGATAATTAATGTCCTTATAAAATTTTAACTAAAACCAATTTTATAAAGTTTAAAATAAATAATTATAGTAGGTTTAAATTTGTCTATCAAAATAAAATAACTTAAATTTAAAATATGTCATTCGCAAGTATCCTCTCAACATGTCGAATATGTTAACAAAAATATAATGGAATGAGATTATGTACTAAAAGAAATAATTGAATAACATTAACTTATAATTTTAGTAATTATTTTAATGACTTAATTGAAATATTTTAAAACATGTAAACAAGAGATTTAATGGAAAAGAGAGTTAGTTTCATATTTTTCAGTGTTTTCAATTACTATTATTTATATAATTTATGATATATTACTATTTTAATTTTACAAAAAGAAAAATATTCTATATTTTAAAGTTTTAAATTCAAAATTTGAAAATAAACCTATTGCTTTTTAAAAATCTTTCTACAATTTGAATCATAGAATCCAAAAATGTTTTAGAAAACAAATCTTTCAGGAGATAAAATAATAAACAAGATCTAGATTCCATACTCCTAATTTTTATAAAATTAATTTCTTAATAGAAAAGTTTTAAATATTGCGATAGATAGAAATATTGAGGTCTTATCACATGAAAATATGGATAGAAATTAAATATTAATAGAATGTCAATGCTATAAAATAAAAAATTCGTTTCTAAATAAATAAAAAATGATTAATATTAATATTTTGTTTATATTTTTATTTGAAAGTGTCGATTTATCCTGTATAGATGTTGAATAAACACATACAAATCGAACAAAAACTCTGCCATTTCCAACATTTATTATATACTAAATCTGAATTAAATTTTACTCCGGATGTCAATTCCAATCTTTAAATAATTGATTTAACTTCGATTGCATGATTTTATTTTCATTTTCATTGTAATTTAACAAGATCAATTTGAAGATTTTTGAATTTTAGGTCATAAAACAGTGTTTATTTAATCAGATTTCGTCTGTAATTGAGAAAGAGAAGAAGCATCTGGAGAAAGAAATCAACTTACAAACAAAGAAAATTCACTTATTTTTTTATGAGTTTTTTGAGAGCTCATGTAGGAATGTTATTTTTCATTTTTAATTTTTGAAAATCAAAGATAATAATGATTGTCATATTCATAGGGGATAAAATCAACTATATTTTGATGTTTAATTACTACCATATTTCACTTTTATGGTTGATATTTCTTTTTCCTTTGATCTTCTTCGTAAACAACTTCTGAAAATGACTGTTTATAGATTACTCTAATTTAAAGCTATGGATACATTATATTACTCTTAAATTCAAATCGATTTGAGAAAATATTTATGAGATAGATTACTCTAATTCAAAATCTATGGATAGATAAAATTATAGGGGAAAATTAAATATTAAGGAGGATTTACGAATCTAGTCTATATTTTTTTTGAAATATTCAAATAAACAAATATATATATTTTTTAATACAACACGTGAGGAAGATCGAACTTACAACCTTTTGTTAGACATCTGTAAATTACGGTGCACGCTTTGACAAGAATCTAATCTATCAAGATAGGAAAAAATCAAACTAAAGGATCTTCATATCTTAAAAAAACAAATAATAATAATAATAATAAATAAAAACTAAGGTTAGGAAGGAAAACTTAATAGAGGAATTTTCACCCGCGTTAAAAACTATTTTTCAGTTGTGTTTTTATATTTTACATATTTAGATATCGAGATTTTAATTTTTTTATTAATATCAAGATTACCCTTATTTATTACTTTTATATTTAATAAGATTGTATTTTATTTAAATGGTTAGATTTTATTTTTAATTAATTGTTTTCAAATTTGAATTTCTTATATTAAATATGATATATTTAAATTTTCAAATATTAATCTCGTACTCATTTATTTCCCTAATTTTTTCCATTCAATAATATACCCTAAATCATTCCATTTTTTTAATAAAAACAAAATTTCCATATAACATTCAAGTCCTTTAATTTTTCTATGGTTATTGTTTGAGTTTTCTAGCAGTTTTTGTTTGGATTTTTCAACATATATTATTTTTTTGGGACATTCTTTTTCAGACATTATTTTCTGACGTCTGTCTTTTTTTTCAGTAGTATGATAAATATATATTTATCTAAAAGCTTATGTAGTATATACTTTTTATTAGTTTATACTAAATTATTAGATTATATAATTCTGACCATCCTTATATAATAGATTTTCCTTTTAATCTTCAATATGATAAATACATACTTCTCATTATATACGAAACTATAATATTATATAATATATACTTTTTATCTAACTTACAGTGTCATATAATAATGTATCCCAATATGTTATAGAATATATATACAATTTTATCTTCATTGTGACATCTCTTCTTCTTTGGAAAAAAAAACCTATACACCTTATCATTCTCTTCCTCTGACCAAGCCACCGCCTCCTGTTCCAGCCGCCACACAGCCTCCCTCACCGGGAATTGCATCATCCCTGCATTCGTTCGTGGTGGATCATGTGTCGCTCGTTCGTGGGTGTTGCGTCGCAGATTTTGCCAGTGTGATGTTGTACCCAAAATCTGGCTATGGAGATCGTTGTATATTTGGTCAACTTCGTGGGTGTTGCACCGTCGTGCCGCCACAAAGGTAGCCGTAGATTTAGTCGAATTTTTTTGTGTTGCACCATCATGGGTGAGCAGTAGCCAATGATTTGTTTGGATTTGTGGGTGTTGCGCTTATTGTCGAAGGAGGGAGGAAAAAGGAGACAAGTTTTGGTGGGAGAGAAATAGAGAGATTAGGGTTTCACGACTAAGGAGAGAAATATGGAGGAAGATGTGATTTTTGAGAGAAAAAAAGATTTGAAATTGAAAATCCTTGAATTAAGGATCTTCCCATATTTGAATTTTTCTTTAATTGTTTACTAAATATATATTTGAGAGCAAATTTGTAAAATTCTAGGAGAGGTTCATCCTATACAAACTCGTTATAAGACAAAAGTGTAAAATCTTAAACATGAATATATTTATTTAAATTGAGTGCCCATATAGTGCTATCCCAAGCTTAAATTCTAAAACTTGGGCTTCACGATTTAAAGATTCAATATCCAAAACTCGTTTTTCTAGATAACGGGCCCAATTAAACTAAAAGTCTTCGTAACGAACCTTTGATAGAAATTAAAACTAAACTCACCACAACTAAGAAAATATTTAATTGACAAACTACGAGCTAACGCGAGGCATTACAATCTCACATTGTTATTTGTGAGGCTTTTCCCTTGGCATCATGGATTTCCCTTTGGGAGTTTCTAATGAATTCATAGTTTTATCCGTAAAGTACATTACTAGCTTATCCCCTTCTCAATTGAATACTTATTTACTCACTCTTAATTTCGAGCTTGTCAAAATTCGCAAATAATGAGTTATTTGTTTGGAAGAGTACTCTAGAAGAGAGATGAAGTTACAAGCTCCTCAGGATAGAGAGATTGTTGAAATTCAAAGAAAGATCAAGCCAATTATTCTCAATAGGGGTGTTAACGGGTTGGGATGAGTTGGGTTGGGTCGGATTAATGGAGTTTTTTGGACCAACCCGAATTTTCGGATTAAAGAACCGAATTAAATAAGCAACCCAACCCAACCTCAACCCAAAATTTTTGGGTTGGGTGAGGTTGGATCATCGGGTTGCATCTTTTTTATTTTTAAATAAAATTGGATTATTGTAGAGACAGCAGCGGGTTTGGGTGAAGCAGCATAAATTGATTCCATAATTTTCTTTGCAGCGGGTATTGGTCACTCGTTTATAAGAAAAACTCAGATGAAAAGTTTTAGGCGACTTCTTTTTTATCAGAAAACTCGAGGAAGAAGAGGAAAAATAAAAATAATCTAAACAATTTCATTGTATTTCACCCCCAGACCTCAAGAAACCATTTTCTTATAAATAAAATCCCCAAAAGATCAATCCCATCACCTGTACATGATGAAGTTGCAGGAAGAAAGATGAATCTAAAAATAAAAAAAGGGCTTTTGCGACGGGGAGATGAGATTGAGAGAGAAGATTGATATTGGAGAGAAACAGGAGCGACGGGAGACAACAGCGATAAAGAGAAGCGCAGTAAAAGGGAGATCGGAGGAACTGAGATGAGATTTGAGAGAGAAGGTACTGAGCAGTTCTGCGAGTAACAGAGCTAAAAGAGAGGGATGAAAATAGAACAATTTTTGTATTGAGATGATTTTGAAGTGAATACAAAGAGCCTTCGTACAACTAATTTACAAATAATATTGAATAGGTTAGCTAATTTATAGGGGAATCATAACTAAAGAAGGTTATAACAATTAACCTAATACACCCACTCAAACTCAAGGTTGAATAGAAAACGTGAGTTTACTACATCAAGATAAAAAAAAAAAAAAATTGTGTAGACAACGCCTTGGTGAATAAATCAGCAATTTGATCTTTGGATGACACAAA